CACAGACAAAACATATGAAGAATTTTTTATACAGGATATTACATCAGGATACCTAATATAATCAATAATATATTTAAAGTTTGAAGAATTTATGGAATTGTTGGATCGAGTTGAAGAAAAATGGAGTTTAACTGATAAATGGGGATTAAATGAAAGTTTTGTAAGGTTAGGTGAAAAATGGGAATTAAGAAAGGAATTAAAAGATAGAATTTGTGAGATGAAAGATGATTTAATGAGTATGATTGCTTTTGGTGATGAGTGCGAGATTGGTGTGAAATGCATAGTTTTTAAAAAGGAAATTAATTTAATGGAAAGGAAACTTAAGAAAGTTATTTTAAAATAATTTATTATACGTATAATACATAACGATAAAAGAAAGCTTCGCATTAATTAGGTTACACATATGTATTTAACTATAAATTCTGTGTTACCTTTGGACTAAATTTATTCATGAGAAATTTTTACTTTTTTTCATTACGCATACGTACTGTAATTATCTTGGAAAAATTAAAAAATAAAATAAACTTTATTTATTTCTCTTAACAAAAATGGTTCACTCAAAATTTATGCCCTCATCCTTCTCCACCACAACACAACAAACCGATGATGGTCCGTTATTATATTTACTAATTTTTTTCATGGTACTCATATTTTTTAGTGGTATATGTTGGATATTTTGTTGCGGCACTTGTGTCGGTAGGGATTTATTAAAATTTTGTTGCAGAATCTCCTGGTTTTTACCTAAAAGTAGACGTAATAAGCGAAAAAAAAATCGAAGTAGATCGGGCAGGATAAGAGAAGGAGGCAGCAGTTCCAAATATGATAGGTCTTCTTTGGATGATGAGGAATGGGAAATGTTGGAAGATGGTGAACTTTTTAGAGATTAGAATTTTAAAATCTTTGGCGGAGGGAATGAACAATAATTTCGTTTATGATAAAGAAAAGATACATGAACTTTTTTTTACTTAACAATGTTTAACAAATTCAAAGATAAATTCTTTAATTATACACACAATTTTAAAGAGTTTTGATACTTCTCAGAGAATTTTTTTGCATTTTCTTTTATTTACTATATTATTACGATGTATTCTGATCATCAAAGCTTTAGTTTGTAAATTTTCTAGGTACTGTACATTTATGAATTAATATATCTAAAAGTCTATATTTTATTTCGTAAGTTATGCGATAAAAATGTTGATATTAGGGTTATTAACCTATAAAGATTTGGTCACAATTTATACTGTAATTACTCTAGACTAATGATGCCGTCAATACTCATTTCTACATTTGTTAAAATAGAAACTAGCTACTTTATAGGTTTATACTACTGTTTATATCTTGTTTTATTTGCCACTTTCAAGAATTCTAAAGTCTTGGAAGTATTTAGACCAGGAAAATGAACCTTTGATAAAGCAATTAGAAGCATTAGGAAAAGAGAAAAGGCTTACCGAAGTCCAACTTTCAGCAGCTATAAAGTTATGTAAGGATATAGAACATTTACGCCAGAAAAAATGAACTTTTGAGAAACAAATTAGAGGCCAAAGTCCAACGTAAGTTGGCAAGCTGATAATCTCTTGCCAATTTGGCAAGGTTGCAGGTAAAAAAGTTCATGGCAAAATTATATACGTATTTATACTTCCAAATTTGATATTCATACCTTTCTGTAAATTAAAATATGTTTAAACTTTAAGTGAAGATATCTTGATAACCACCTAACCAAATTTAATGAATTTTTTTTTTTTTTTGGGTTTGAATTCTACAAATCTGTAGAATTCAAATGAAAATTTTTTTATCGAATTTGGTCAGATCTTCGCTCAAAATAAGTAACAATTCAAAATGACTACGTACGTATTAAAATAGAAGCTGTGTCTAAATTTTTCTAACATTTGACAAAGATATCTTGACAAACATCTCATCAAATTCGATGAAAATTTTTTTATTTGAATTTTGCAAATCTGTAAAATTAAAAATTTTTATTGAATTTGGTCAGGTAGAATCTTTGCTCAGTTCAAAATTAGTTTAATTTATAGAGAGGGTATGAATATCAAATTTTATTATTATTATTAAAACAAAATATAAAAAATTTTTTATTAAATTGTTTAAAAAAATATATATTTAAAATACATACTTTAATTAATAATTCGCTAGAATTATTATATATAAAAATGGGGATATTAAATATAGGGAATATTATTATAGAGCTATAGCATTGTGGCACTACCCTATATGTAAACATAAGATTCGGTGTAACCTAAAATCAAAATAATATATTTTATTTATTACTTTAGGGTTAGGGCCTTCGTTAGATTAGGATTAGGATTAGGGTGATAGTGAAAAAGGCTTATACCAAAATTTAGCAAGGAATTTTTTTAATTAAAACACCAAAAGAAGTTTCATATGCTAAATTTTGAGTTATTAAACGTTTTTTAAAAAATGTAACAATTGTATTAATTTTCACGTTACACCTGATCTTTTTTTTGATTGGCTACAACACCCTAGCACTACGGTACTATAGCGCTATAAATTAAAACCCTTAAATATAAAATCAATTAGTATGCATAATTTAGAGCCGGAATGTAAATGTCTCGATAACTTATAAGTAAACTTCCTTTATACTTCTAATAAAATTTGTAGAGGAGTGGTAAGATCATCAAAATCAATAGATCGTGAGATATGAGCATTTTTGTATTCACGATCATATAAATTTTTTTTTGTAAATCAGTAAAGAAAATTTATATGATCAGGAAGACAAAAATGCTCATATCTCACAATCTATCCAAGTGATTTTGATGATCTTACTACCATTAAAACTGGAAAAATCTCCTCTACAAATTTTATTGTAAAGGAAGTTTACTTGTCAGTTATTGAGATATTTACAGTAAGCTCAAAAGGTATATCACGGGGATACGCCTTATTTCACCGACACTCATTTCGTAGACACAACACAACATTTCACCGACAATCAATTCACCGACATATTTGTTTCACAGACAACCAATTCCTAGACAAGCTAAGCTCATTTCGTAGACAACTCATTTCATATACAGCTCATTTCACCGACAAGTTAATTTCCCATAATTCCTCTAACCCTAACCCTAATTCTAATGGTAATAATGTTGGTGAAAT